ACGCGCAGCGGGCAGGGCGCGTGCGCAGTGCTGGGGGCGCGCGGGGCCCAGCGCGCATGCGCCGCGCGCCGTTTACTCGACCACGTCCGCACGGATCGGGGAGGGAGGGGGCAGGCGCGCGCTGGAGGCCCCGCCTACTCCCGCCGCGCCTCATTTGCATGAATTTCCATACATTTGCATAAGCTTCCATACAGCTGTATATATTTGAATAACACCCCGGGCCCAAACGCAGCCCAGCTAGTGGCCCCAGCAAGGCCCCTGGCAACCCAGTGACAACAGATCTGGGCATCCTGACATGCACTGAGCTGCGACGGCCTCAGCCTGGGAAAGGACAAGACCCAAACGGGGACAGTTTCAAGGGTTTATTGCCAAAACACCCCCCCCCCTCCGTAGGGGGGCGGGCGCGTGTGCAAACCACAATGTCCTTCTTGAAGAAAACAAAACAAACAAAAAGCCCCAAAATACAGAAGAAAGACAGAAGAAATACAGAAAAACAGAGTTTAGTTGAGAAATCAGAAGAATAAAATCCGTGGAACCGCAGAACCGCCCCGAACGCACACGTCCAACCTTCCCTCCCGCCCTCCATCCTGTGCATGAACAAACAGCCCAGAACGCACAAGGAAAACTCATTTTTCTTCATTTTTTTGCCCTCTACCCCCTCAAACCGTCACAATTTCCCCCGTCATTAGGTGCCTTCAACAACGGCGCTGGTGGGCGGAAAGCAGGTTCTAAAACCGAAAAAAAAAGCCAAGGGGGACACAAATCCACAGCAAAGAAAAACTCAAGGCAAATCAACAACCTGCAGCAGGGGCTTTTACACAACACAACATAAAAGCCCTGCTTTTTCTCTTTCTTAATAAATACAGTGATAAAATAAGAAAAGCCAGGGATGTAACCAGTGTTTTTTCCTTTTCCTGCAGTAAAACAGGAGGTTAAAACGGCCAAGCTGCAGCTGGGGGCTCTGCCAGCAACGCAGCTCCCTCTTTCCCCCAAAGAAACCGGGTAAAAAGTGCCCCAAAACTGCACGCTGGGCAGGAGCCTGCTGCAAAAAGGCTCCTTTTTTGTACCTGAGCATCTCAAAGAGAGATGGAGGAGGAAAACCAAACCCCAAGTAAACTCATGTTAAATATTTAGAGAAAAAGCTCCCAGAAGAGCACTCAAAAATGCTCCTTTCCTCTTCCATCCAGCACATGGCATTCCTTGAATCCAGCCACAAAGCTGGGTTATTCATGTGCCCGGATACGGTGCGGATCAGCGCTGCTGCAGCCGTGTTTCTGTGCAACAAAAACTCCGTAACAGTTGTAGGTCCGAGGGTGGCGATTTTAGGTTTCCGAGCGGGTGGGATCGCTAAAAACGGGAACACAGGGAGCAGCGTCCAAGAAGCTGCTTCAGAAGCAGCTGGGATTTAGAGGCTGCTCAAAACAACAAGAAAATCACCAAAAAAAAGAAAAAAGAAAAAAATTAGGAGTCCCAGCAGCAGGCCCCAACTCCGTAATCTCACTTTTACGGAGAGTCCTCCAGGTCCTACTTCCTAGATACAGGAAAGAACCTGCAGAGGAGAAAAACAACAAAAAAATAGGGAAAAAAAAAGCGCTTTCAGTGAACTGGGGAGGGAATGAGACCAAAGGCCGCGGGGTTTGCGACCAGCGAGTGAGGCAAAACTGCTGGCCAAGCACATCTGGCCGAGCACATCTGGCCCACAGAAGCAGCCGAATTTGCAGGAAGGGTTTGGGGGACGGTTTTCCCGCTCCTTCCGTGGTGTTTAATGGCAAGGGCTGAGCCGGGATGGGCACGGAAGCAGGGCGAGACACGCCGAGCTCGGAAATGGGCAAGAACGGGCGTCCACGAGGGCTCCAGCGGGGAGAAAACGGAGCAGCCGGAGAGGAGCGGCGCCGCGCGCCGTCATTCCGCCTTCCTTCCCAGTCTCGTGAAGACGCTAACGGGGCCCGCGCTGTCCATGCGAGCGCCAGGGCTCTCGCTGCTGCTGCTGCTGCTGCTTACCTTGGCGCTGCCCCAGCTCCTCTTTAGAGTGACCTTGAACTCGGGCTCCGTTCTGCCCCGGGTGCTGGTCACGCTGCTGTCCTGGGCC